TAAAACCCTGTTCAGAACCGGGAAAATAAATGCCAACCGCACTGTACCATAAATATGAGCAAACAGGAAGTGAACAGATGAGGCCTTTCGGTTCAGACTCTGTCTGCATGCATGTAGATTTGACCTGACTCGTCCTCACAGTAATTATCAAGCTGCACGTCATTCATTAGTCTGCCCGGTTGGGGAGTGTGTGAGTGTGTTTAATGAGAACATCTCATCTCTCCGCTGCATCAGCATCACAGCAACACATCGGTTCATACACAAACACACACTTGCATGCAGAATGATTCAGCGCCGGGCCGCCCACCAACTAATAGAGTTACCAGCACTTTAAGTGAGTTTCAACATTCCCAGCACTGCAGCTTTCACGTTTTTTCAAGGGCTGAAAAATGAAAATGGGCTCATTAACTCAGATTAAATGGCTGCAAATGATGACGCTTTAGATTGACCGTCAGTATGTCACTAGATTCACTGAATTATAGAGTGCCAGAAAGTTTCTCAAGACTCTAGGAAGCTGCAAGAGATCATGGCTGGTTAGCATGGTTGCATTAGCCCCTGCTAATGCCGTAACTACACCATCTGGACCCAAAAAAGCATTTTCTCCATTGACAACCATTCAAGATAAAATGCATATTCTGACAGATTACGTTTTTTTTTCTCAGAGCAACATACAATGTAACTTGCATATATTTCATGATATTATAGTGGATGTTTGTATGGCGAGATAAGACAAAAAGTGAATTGCCACTTCAAGTCATCAGTGTGTGATGGGAGGGCAGATGGGGAGAAACGGATCATGTTGTGTCCCCTGAGATCAAGAGGATCAAGCTGTTCTTGTGTTTATCTTGATCAATGGCAGAGTGAGGATAAAATGTTCTCATGGATCAAACTTTTGCCCTCTGGGATTTGCAAGGTCGTGAGAATGTGCTTTCGCCCTCAGTCTGAGGAGAGCAAAAGTGATTCAGCAGTTAAATGTTTTTACAAATATTTGAGGTGATATATGTAGCATTTGTTATTTTGAATGAATTACACATAATGAATAGGCCGCTGGCGTCTGTGAGGGAGAAAAAAAAGCAGTGGTGATGATGTAATCCATGTCTTACCTTGATGAATTATTTTTTACCGCCCCAGTCCGTTCACTGACCGCCCAATGCAAATTTGATACAAAATTGGAAAGCATTTGTGAAAACTGAAAGTTCCAGGTACAATGGCACGCATTTATAAAAAGATAACTATTCAATCTTGAGCAAATAAAGGCATTTTTTGCAGAGACAGGTTTGTGAAACACAAAAATGATCCTCTTTGTTGATAATCTGTAGAACAAATGCTAGCATAGTAGTATTGTTTATCCTTTTATTTTTGGTTGTAACAAGACGTCTTCGTTGGGAAGTGTAGTATTGCCATGTTAATTATTTCCTTATGCTGTATGTCATCTTCCGAGGATCATTAGGTTATCAAGTCGTCTTTGAATGAATCGGAGCATAATTACTCTGGAGCTGTAGGAAATTATGTCAACACAACGAGCTGTGATGTGAAACTGAAAAGTTTGTCTATTTTACACTTTTAAGAGCCTTCCAAAAACAAATCGGGCACTGTTAACAACATCTACAAGAGGAAATTCAGATATTTGCAATTTAAATCTCTCTTGCATCAAAATACATGGATTCTTTTGAACTTTCAGATGCTTTTTGCTGCCAAATAAAGTTCCTTGATTTCCATAACTTAACAGCTTTTTCTACAGGTCATAGAGATCTTAATAAGTGGCGAAAAGCCGTTATTTATGTGCGTTTTTGTGTGTATGTGCTCGTAGGCTTCTTCAGACAAAACGTTTATCCTCCCTACAAACACAGGAAATGAGGCACATCTAGGGAATAGTGTCTGTTAGACTAAGCACTGGCTGACCGAGATATAAACCGCCTGTGGAAGAAGAATTTATGTGATAGAAGGAACCGAAGAACTGAGAGGTGTTGCTAGCCATCAGAACCAGAGGCAGATCAGGGCAGAGAAGGTGTATTAATGCTTTGAAACCTCATGAAAACATGGTATATGAACACAAAACATTGTTATTTGATACTAGCTTACATATTGTAAATGCGATCCCACTTTATAGTAAGTGGCTTTAACTACTATGTACTTACATCAAAAATAAGTACAATGTACTTACTGTGTTTATATTGTATCGCAAACTTGCTAAAGATATTTATGTGCGTTTTTGTGTGTATGTGCTCGTAGGCTTCTTCAGACAAAACGTTTATCCTCCCTACAAACACAGGAAATGAGGCACATCTAGGGAATAGTGTCTGTTAGACTAAGCACTGGCTGACCGAGATATAAACCGCCTGTGGAAGAAGAATTTATGTGATAGAAGGAACCGAAGAACTGAGAGGTGTTGCTAGCCATCAGAACCAGAGGCAGATCAGGGCAGAGAAGGTGTATTAATGCTTTGAAACCTCATGAAAACATGGTATATGAACACAAAACATTGTTATTTGATACTAGCTTACATATTGTAAATGCGATCCCACTTTATAGTAAGTGGCTTTAACTACTATGTACTTACATCAAAAATAAGTACAATGTACTTACTGTGTTTATATTGTATCGCAAACTTGCTACTGAGATGGGATACGGGTAAGGTTAGGGACAGGTTTGGTGGTATGGGTAGGTTTAAGGGTGGGTTAAGGTGTAAGTGATGGGTCAATAGTGTAATTATAAATGTAATTACAGAAATTAATTACAGATGTAATTACATACAGGTATTTTTTTAAATATAAGGACAATGTAAAAACATGTATGTACACAATAAGTGCATTGTACCAAATTATTAATTTAAATGTGAGTACATAGTAGTTAAGGCCACTTAATATAAAGTGGGACCATAAATGCATATAGTTATATGAATAAAAATAATTTGTAATTGTTTATGGTTCAGTAACGATACAATGAAATTGGGTCATGAGTTGGCGGAGTGAGTTGTTTGTAATCACTTGAATGAATCGGCTGCTATTGGGGTGGGATATGGGTAGGTTAGGTTAGGGACAGGTTTGGTGGTATGGGCAGGTTTAAAGGTGGGTTAAGGTGTAAAGGATGGGTCAACAGTGTAATTACAGAATTTAATTACAGATGTAATTACATACAGGTATTTTTTTAAATATAAGTACAATGTAAAAACATGTATGTACACAATAAGTGCATTGTACCAAATTATTAATTTAAATGTGAGTACATAGTAGTTAAGGCCACTTAATATAAAGTGGGACCATAAATGCATATAGTTATATGAATAAAAATAATTTGTAATTGTTTATGGTTCAGTAACGATACAATGAAATTGGGTCATGAGTTGGCGGAGTGAGTTGTTTGTAATCACTTGAATGAATCGTTTACAAAAGTGCTAATTCTGGAATGGTAGATTTTTATAATTGAAAATAGGTCAAGAACTGTAGTTTTGTTTAGAAATTAGCATATTTGGTAGTGCTGTTTGCCAAGGCATTGTTTAGTGATTTGAACAAGTTCCAAGCATTAAACTTTGGCTTGTGACTCGAAAATGATACATCAAATCATGTGGTCTGTTAAGAAGAGGGGTGCTATTACTCTTCTAAGTGATCTGACTAATGGTAAAATGGGTGAGAAAATCCCATACATTTACATTAAAGGAAGCAACCAACACTTGGTAAGCAGCCACCCAGAAAACCTTAGTATTGTAGTGGCGACTTCTAATCAGGCAAGCACGAATCAACCAACACATTTTATTTAGAAAATGGAAAAATTTGATAGTGATTATTAAATTCCAAGAATGCATTGAATTTTCATTTTTTCCATGTTGAATGCATTTTCCCACCCCTATCATATCTGTGCTGATGGATGATTTGTCATTGAGATTCACAGCCTTAACTTAATATTTTATTTCAGCAGAATAATCAAGTCATACATAATGGATGGAACTTTTCTCAGATCGCCAGAAGATCCCATGGAAGGGAAAACATGGCCAACTTGCACTTATGTAATTCCACCCCATTCCATCTGTCTATGCTTGTCGTTCTATCTTAAAATAAGCTGTAGTGTAAGTGGTGCAAGCCTTCCCCATCTTCTTTCAAAACACTGGAGGGACCATCTCACCAAATCTGCATGTGGTAACCTTGCCAGAGGCTGACCAGTAGTCCCTGGTGAAGGGAACTATGGTTAAATTTATCCCAAAGTGGTGGAGGCAGGGCCGTCCTTAGCTGACGCGGGGCCCGGTGCAAGGTAGGGAGCGGGGCCCCCCTCGGTCCGTTTGTGATCGCGTTCCAGGGGGAGGGACGGCTCTGGGTGGAGGGCAGTTATATTGGTGTCTTACTCTCATTCTATGCTGTCCTTGAGAGCGCAAAGTGACCTTGAGTTTCAGCAGCTACTGTACTTCTGTTAAGCCCCCAGTTTGTTGACATGGCACTTTTCAGAAGCACGTTGAGAAACTGAAGACGTGACATTATCCAAGTGTACGTCCTCTGAATTCTGCTGAAATGGGCGTTTATGAGCAATTATAAGTGTTTTCATTGTTATTGGATTTTTTTTTTCTGCTCTGAAATTGGGAAAACCTATTTATAGCTGAACTGTGTGTTACAGCTGTTTTGTAAGGAATTCAAAGAACAAGCATTAAAGGAATTCTGTCATTCTGTCATGTTGTTCCTGTACAACCTTTTATTTCATTGGTGAAACACTAAAGCAGGATTTTGAAGAATTGTACTGATCGCTCTTTGCTTGTGGCAGTTACAATGAATAGGGAATGTAAGATTTAAAAACACCATAAAAGTACTGTAGTATCAAGTCTTCTGAAGTCATACGAAAGCTATCAGTATAGACCAGTGGTATCCTCCAAATTTTCCCTGTTGTGTTCCACAGAAGAAAGACCGATATACAAGTTTGGAAGACATTAGGGTGAATACATATAGAAAGAATTATAATTTTTGGATGACTATTTCATTAAGGTCTTACATAACGTCTCTCTCTCTTTTTTCCCACAGTGGGTAGCATTTGCATCTTTGTTCTTCATTTTGGCGTCCATTACCACATTCTGTTTGGAGACTCATGAGGCCTTCAATCCCATCATCAACCGCACAGAGACTTACATGGTGGGCAATGAAACACGGGATCGTGTTTTTTCTGAGACGGAGACCATGGTGCAGTTAACCTATGTTGAGGGTGTCTGCGTTGTGTGGTTCACTTTCGAGTTTCTGATCCGAGTGACTACCTGTCCAAACAAATTAAAATTTGTCAGAAATACACTCAACATCATCGACTTTGTGGCCATCCTCCCCTTCTACCTGGAGGTAGGGCTGAGTGGACTCTCATCCAAAGCAGCAAAAGATGTGTTGGGTTTCCTCCGTGTGGTGCGATTCGTTCGAATTCTCCGTATCTTCAAGCTAACGCGACACTTTGTGGGTTTGCGGGTACTAGGGCACACGCTCCGTGCCAGTACTAATGAATTTATCCTCCTCATCATTTTCCTTGCACTCGGAGTCTTAATCTTTGCCACTATGATCTACTATGCCGAACGTTTTGGAAGAAACCTCAATGATCCTGACGCCAGTAACGGTACACACTTCAAGAACATCCCCATTGGCTTCTGGTGGGCTGTGGTAACTATGACAACCCTCGGCTATGGCGATATGTACCCTCAGACAACGTCTGGCATGCTGGTGGGTGCACTGTGCGCACTGGCAGGTGTGCTGACGATTGCCATGCCTGTACCTGTAATCGTGAACAACTTCGGCATGTACTACTCCCTAGCCATGGCGAAACAAAAACTACCAAAGAAAAAAAATAAGCATATCCCACGAGCACCTCAACTAGGGTCTCCCAACTACTGCAAGTCAGCTATTAACTCCCCGCGACCCAGCACGCACAGTGACACATGCCCCCTGGCACAGGAAGAGGTTTCCGAGATCAGATACCAAGGTAAGAGCTAATAATTTAGAATCTGTAAATTTCCGTCAATGTGATTGAAATGTTAACCTTAAAGGAGTCCTATCGTAAAATTGTTTTCTCAGAGGTTCACTCATTTGGTCTTACCCTCTTTCTGACCGTAGAAGTAAACAGCTAATTTTTTTGCTTCTATACCTTAAAGACATACAAACAATCTCTTTAGCATGTCCTTATTACTTTACTGCAGTTGGATGAGTCAGTTTACCGCACACTGATGAGTAATATTTGTAACAGTGTTTCAATAGATTGACTTTTTGGACAAGGGGACAGAGTATTTCAGTTCTAAAACTACAGTATATTCACATAAACCACCTTTATTTGAAAAGATCATGAGATTTGTCATGATTTGACTCTTTTAATGTTACTCCTTAATCTGTTAGCTTAGCATGTTGATCTGCTGAGCTCTGGATGTTTATCTAGAATCAACTGAACTTGAGTTGGCTGCATCTGAATAATGAATCTACTGGTAGTTTTGATTTTACACAAGAAACTTAAAAAGTGCTAATAGTTTCAGTAATAGAGAAATCTTTCCATTTATCTCAGTGGTTGTGCTCTCATGGAAGCTTACTACTACTCTAAGCTTTCACAGGCATCTAAATTACAGATAGTCCAATCTAACAATTAAGGGTAACTACACACTCTGTAACTACACACAGAGTTTATGCTATGTCAGAGAATGCTGAGAATCTATTGATTTAAAAGGGCATGGTATGTTTTAAGGATTTTGAGGAGAATGGGTTTGTAAAACTGATGTAAAATTGTGTGACCAAAAGTTGAAAAAATGTGGATAAAAAATTTGGGAAAAAATGGATTTGGATTTTCAAAATTTCAGAGAGTCCACTTGTCCAGTTCAACCTTCCAAATTGTTGTGTTTGCACTTGGGAAACAACCTAATGCAGAAATGCAATATAATTTACAATATAAGTTGAATTTCCTACATGTAAGCTAGGGTTATTTATTCCTGCTCCCGGAGACCCAGTGTTTTACAGAGTTCAGGTCCAACCCATCTTCTCATCTTCATCCCAAGTAATCAAAAGGTTAGATGGTTAAAGTGTGTTTGATCGGAGCTAAACTTGTCAGGACAGTGGATCTCCAGGAGCAGGGTTATGTACCCATGATGTTTTTTAGTGTTTGAAAGTATTAGAGCCAGGTGAATTTGACTAGGTGTACAATCATGCATTGTTGGAAAAATCTTTCTTGCACAAATGTCATTTATATCAGCAGGTTTGAACTTTGAGAGCGGTTTGGCTTTCAGGATGTATCGTAGCATTGATAGCCTGAAATAAATCTCCCATGTCACCTTGCATCAATCTGTAATGAGTCATCTCTCTTTGCCTGTGACTGGAGATTTTAAAGTGAATGGGGAGGCGTCCAAAGCTGCCCTGGCCAATGAGGATTGTCCTCACATCGACCAGGCGGTGTCACCCGAGGAAGTCTTTAGCCCTGTGGACCACGAGAGACCCTGCTTCCTGCTCACCTCCGGAGGACAACGAGCCAATCACACGGGGGGGAGAGTCAGGAAGGGTACGTAAACCAGCCAATCACTGCTAGCCTTTAGAGCACTGCCAGTGCCGTGTCTGAAAGTGGAGCAGCTGTCAATCAAAGATGCTCTTTCGGTGCAAAACGACCGACTGTCACTCAGCCTTCTTTCTTGCAGTCTGATAGCTCCTCAGGTCTGCTGTTACTCTAAGGTTGACAGGAAAAGCTACGATAGAAATGACATATCCAAGTGAGCCGTCAACGGGCCTCTTTTAATTTATAGCTCACTCTGAACAAGATCTCTGAGAAGAACATTCAGTGCCAGTTTTTCCTAATGTATTCATGCGAATGCATGAATGCACGTTTTACAGTACGTATTTCAGGCAGATTCAGTGGACCATTATGTAAGGGTCCAATTTTAAATGAAAAAGTAAATGAATGTTTATGAAAAAAACAATGGTTTTATAAAGTAAATTAAATAAGCTTCTGTATAATGCCTAGCAGTGTGCTTGTTTGCATGTAGATTCACAATGGCGGGTGGTCCTGGTGATGGTGAATCTCACAAGAGATGCAGCATGGGATATGGGGCATGTGGTCACATGACAAGAACTCAGCCAGACAGAAGCGCTCAGTTGAACATTAACAGCAAACAGGTGCCATTAGCCATGATACCCTTCTGAAAGACCAGCTTCCTAGCATGAATTCCCATGCTTATGCAGGCTCGTTAGGTGCTGGTCCAACTGATGGGCCCAGCATGGTCTTTCTAGGGATGCTGGATGACCAAAGAAGACTTGCTGGTTAAGCTGGTTGTGGAGTAGTTTTCTTGGGACACTGCTACCAGTATGCATAGCACAACCAACTATGCTGGTCTTTTCAAAAGGGTAGTCAAGATAAGACTAGGCCAGGGAATCAAACTCTTTCCTTAACTCTTGCAATAAAGGTAACACCTCAAACAACAGTTTAGGATAGGATAGTGTTAGGCTAAGCATTTTGATACAAGTGAAATACTTCTGTCACTTGTTAGCCCTGTAGTTAGCCCCATATTTAACAGAACTAGCATCATCTGGTAGTTAAAGAGCTACAGTACCAGTAAACAGGGTATATATATATGGTTGTTTCTTGTTGGGCTGATGTGTCTGGCTGAGTTCTTCGATATCTCTCTGAACCTGTGTTGTGCTGTACAGCACTGTGAAACCACCCCATGCATGCAGTAGACAGTTTGAAGCATAACACGCATGGAGGATGATGCAGTTGACTTGGCAATCAGTCATTGTCAACTGGCTAGCCATGAGCATAACAAGTACATGACAGGGCAACACTAACCAAAACTAATCTGTGCAAAAACACCACATACATACACGCACCTCAGCTATCGGTCCCTATACCTACTTTAAGAACCATATTTATTCCGAAGCAAACCTTGGCAGAGAGTCTTTGTTTAGAGTTGAAGGCTGCTCTGAGGTTTTACTGAAAGCCCTTTTTCTCTTCAAATGAAGGTTATGAAAAGCCATGGAGCCATAGCAGCATGTCTGGAGGCGTGGCCTCAGTGTCGGCCCTGCCCTGCAGCCCGGCCTGTCTCATGCAGCAGGTCCACTCTCCCATCCCATCCATCCTGTAGCATGGACAACAAAACTAACCAATCAGAGGCCCTCGCTCTGCAGTGCTGCACTGAGACGCCTGCTCACACTGTGTACCATCCATCTCATTAAAGTCTTCTTCATTTGAACACCTCTTCACTTCCTGTTCCTCTTGCTTTTTCTCTTCTTACCCTCTCCTTCTTATTTCCTTCCTAATCCTCTGCCTTCCTCTTTCCCCTTCATCCCTTTTCCTATTCCTTATCCTTGTTCTTTTCCTCTTCCTTCTCTCTTTTCTGTCCTTTCTCCCCCTTTTCATCTTCAATTTCTCTTTCCTAATCCTTGTTCTTTTCTCTTCCTCTACCTCTTTTACTATTTTCTTCTCTCCTTTTCATTCCTATTGCTTCATCTCCCACTTCCTTTTCTGCTCCATCTTATTTTGTTTATTTCCTCATTTTTTTTATTTGCTGCTCCTTCCACTTCATCCTCTCTTCTCTGACTGTTTTTATTGTTTCTTCCACCCTTCTCGTTCCTCTTCCTCCCCTTTTCCTCTTCCATTCATGACTGTTTCGTCTTTTCCTCTTCCTCCTCCCTCCCCCTTCCTCACATTTTCTTATCTTCTTCCTTTTCCTCGGACCTTCCTCCTCTCTTCTCTTCCTTCTATTTTTCCTCCTCATCTTATCCTTCATCTGTCTTCTCTTGTCTGTTCTTGTATCTTTAGAAATTTCTGCAGTTTCATTCTTCCCCTTCTCTCTCCTTCATAACTCCTTTTCCCCAAACCCTGAGTGTTTTAAGCTGTGGTTTTCATTAGGTGCTATTGAACACCATTTAAAATAAAAAAGATGAGACAATGGCTATTTCATATATGATGATAAATTTAGTTTGAAGTGACACTAAACAATCATGATTCTAGTGATGCACACATCACCAACATAGAAACTTTACTGAAGAAACCTCATTTGCATTTGCATGCCTTGCATGGGAAACTATCTGAGAAAACAAAAAATTATTGAAAATATGTAAGAAAAATGTGTTTTTTCATCCAAAGCTTCTTGAAATATATCTGATGCAGAGTATGATATCATTTACGATGACATACAAAATATGTAGCAATTGTTTTTTTATTTTTGCAGACATTTTTTGCCTTTCCCCAAACTATGATCTCTGGTGTTTTTTAAACACCCTGTATTTATTAGTAGCAGCAACTGAGTCGACCATTCGACTTTTTGACAAACAATGCAAATAGTGAAAAAAAAGCACTTTAACTTTTTCTCAAACAGAGCAGAATTTCAATTACAATACCAGCTATTATATAAATACGGTTTTATTTTCACAAAAACACATATTTTTCATAAATTCCATTTCAAATGTGATTTATCTGGAATACATACATAACGTGTATATCACATTTTTAAACATGTAACACTGTAGCAAATCATACAGAAAATATACAATATAGATGTATCGTGCAGTTGACAGAAAAAAAAAAGTATTTTAAAAAAGAAAGAAATCAGTGTACTTTTGGGATTACTTGGGGAGAGGTAAATGCATGCACTTTTATGCAAAAATACATTTGCGAATGACAAAACTGTAAATATGAACCTTGCATGAAATAAATTTTGTATCCAATCTGTATATAGACTCTGGTTTTCTTTGACAGAACATCCATATATGACTCCCCCAGTTGCTTGGCAATAAGCTGTGCCTGTCTTGTGATGTCTCTTTGATCTTTCACCCCATCTTTATCACTGAGCTGTTTTTCCAGGCAGCTATTTTTGGACTTTACGGTCTGTATTTAAAATTTAAATTATGCATCAGTTTTACTATCTTATATTTCAATCCTGGTAAAAGGATGCACAATCACACTCGGATCTTGAAAGGTTGGAAAGGTCAAAGAGAGAGTGTGTGACCTCCCGGTAAAGCAAGGGGGATTGAAACAGGAGAGCCGAGGCAGAACTAGCGGTGATCGTGCCCTGTTTCGCACACTGGTAGCATGCCATTAACCAAGCATGTCACACCGTCCCAGTGCGTACAAGCCCAATCACAGCATGACCTGATGAGATAATCGTATTAACAATAACCTGTAGATTTACACCGGATCTGAATGAATGCAGCATGGGAGAATGCATGGTAAACCCTGAGTTTACCATGAGCCTGTAAAGGAGGACCTGCTTGACACATATCACCCTGTTTGCTTGCACGGTTCGAGGGACAACAATTCCGCCAGCCTTCTCCATCCACCCCCCTTCCCCATGTTTCTGTGCCATTGGTTTGGTGTATTAATATGATTTTCCTTGTTGTTTGTTGTTGTTGTTTTCTCTTCGTGTTTTTTTAGAGACCCAGCGCGGCCACCGAAGCAGACAACCGACCGAGTCAGTGTGTGTAATGAACCATGGTGTACCAACCACTATGTGTGTCAACCATAAAGCCACATCCCCCACCTGATAGTACCGTATTTAGTGCGTGTGTGAGCACTTGCTGTGCGTTTGTTGTGGATTAGTACTTCTCTTCGAGTTGTGACTGAGAATTAATTCAGCGTAGATGTAGCACAGTAATCAAGAGAAGCTGTAGTGGTTCAGCCGTTGTTTCGTTTGTGGTTTATTGTGCTGTCGTTTTGTTCGAAGTGCCTGTTGTTTTTCCGTTCGTGAGTGTCAATGTTGTACATGGTGCTTGTGAGTGCTGGTGTGAAAACATGACCTTTCTTTTATCTCGTTGAAGTGTTTGTTTAAATGTTGTAAAAATGTTACTCCAGTCACTAATCACATTTCAGTGGGAAAAAAGAAAAAAAAATCCACGTGCTCTGTGATCATGTTTGAGTAGGGAGAATAAAATTAGCAATTGTTTTCCCGTATTTTGTACTATTGTAGTTACCATGTAGAAAATGCCTTTTGCACTGTTTGCACCGTTCACTTTTACACTCCTTTCTGTAGAACAAATGCCAGTTTGATATATTTTGTAGCTCACATGTTTGGCTGGTAACTTTCGAGATGCACCGCGTACTATTCAGACGTGACTAATCAGGCTCCGCCCACAATGAAATCTCATTGGTTCAAAATTGTACTTGTTTTAAATATTTTTATTTAACATTTAATATACGTCGATCATGTTTTGATTGACTGTGTTTCAGCATAAAAATACGTTGTCGCTGAAAATGTGATGTGTCGCGCCTGATTGGAACGCTGTGCTGGAAAAATACCAAGGCTTGTTAGCGCATTATTGGGACCAAACTCATTATTGGGATTTTTTGAAGGAATGACAACACCATTATTGAGTTTGATGCGGGAAATGTTTGATAAATGCTTAGTTTGCATTTGAAACTTCAGTCTGAACATACATACGCTATTTTGAAAGCCACATATTACGTAGACACCATCACAAGAGACAATCCTGCACAGAACAACACCGTAACTCTTTATAGAGAACATACAGGGTTTATGATGGAATAAACGAAAGGAACTGATACTGTGTCTTAAGTTTGTTTCGACGTTTATTTTTCATTGTTGTGAAAATGTGAAGTAAACCCAATTCTTTGGGACCAAACTAGCGCACTGCCAGTTGTATCATGGGAAATGTCCATGTTGGGTCATTTCCATACAATATGCTGGACTGTTCAAAGACCCAACCACATCAGAGCACAAACAACAGTATGTAATAAAATATATATGAATAAGCCTCCAAAGGTTCACAGCCTTTATGACTGCATAGTTTTTGGACACAGTAAACTTCCTGCCAAAAGGCTGCATCTCAAACGTTTGTGCTGTTTTGTGAGATGTCCTTGTGTTTTTCAGCACATTGCAGTGCATACTAGTATGGATAGTTATCTAAAACCAGGTGGTGTTGTCATTGATGGTTTGAGTTGACATATTAAGGCAATTTTGTGTCTTTTTCTGAAGAGAGTATAAAAAAAGCAATGAAAACAAAATAGTGATAATAAAAAGCACTAACACAGATTCTGTGTGTTTTGTGTGTTTTTCAAGCTTTGTTTTAAGGCAGTGCAGATACAAAAATACTAGTAGTTGCATGAACATACATATTTGACTAATTAAATGCAAAAATAATTATAAAACATTTCATAAAACACGTTAACAGTACTACGTTTTATAAAAAACGAGTCAGTCTCAACGAGTGAAGAGTACATTTATTCTCATGTGCGTTATGCATTAAGTATGTTACGTCTCTGACAGACAGCATGTTGAAGCCACTCAGGCGTCAAGTGATGACGAGGTCAAAAATCCTGTGGCAGGCTATACTACCTGCCATGTATTGTGCATGTTATTTTTTGACAGACAAAAAGTTACTTTCAGCTGTCGCAAATTTGTTGACTTCTGAAAATCAAGTTATATATACACTGAACAAAATTATAAACACAACACTTTTGTTTTTGCCCCCATTTTTGATGAGCTGAACTCAAAGATCTAAGACTTTTTCTATGTACACAAAAGGCCTATTTCTCTCAAATCTGTCTAAATCTGTGTTAGTGAGCACTTCTCCTTTGCCGAGATAATCCATCCACCTCACAGGTGTGGCATATCAAGATGCTGATTAGACAGCATGATTATTGCACAGGTGTGCCTTAGGCTGGCCACAATAAAAGGCCACTCTAAAATGTGATGTACAATTTCTTTTGATTTTGGGATGAAATATGATATTACTGTGAATGATATGATATGACATTACTGTGAATAATATCAGTTTTAAAGCTCAGAAACAAACAACAGGAACTGCAATTAGTCAAAGATGTGACCATTTTCTCTCTCTCTCTCAGTCCAAATTGCAGGGGAATTAACAGATTGAGAGCAATAGAAATAGCTTCTATATCAATAACTTCATATTCATTTGCAGTGATGGCTCATTTCCCTCTGATGCCCTTACACAAAGGCACAAGGACTAATTCCCAGCATCCTTTTATGATAGCAGTAAAGATCACAGCACGGAGCCGGCAGCTTAATTACTCCAGGAACAGATACTCATCTGTACTAAAGCTGAAGACGCGGCGCTGAAACTGTCCTCTTAATGAAATCCAAACGTTCAACTCTCAACAGTACAGAAGCCAGAGCTGGGCTCAGTGTTAATTCTGGCCATCAGGCTTAGTGACTTACTTTAATCCTGTCTTTTTCTCTCCCAGGCTCAATGTCAGAGCAGTCACATCCCATAATAAGCTACTTTACACCTAAAGATACTGTAGAATTATTGCCATGGCAACGGCATATGTGATGGAACCTCAGCACAAGAGAGAATCGGCCGGGTGTCAGGAAACATGGAAAGAAAATCCCTGGGTCATATTTCATCCCAAAATCAAAAGGTAAAAATAAAAACATGAATTAATTAATTAATTAATTAATTAATTAATTAATTAAAACATTATTTTAATGACAACTGAGCACATACACTACCAGTCAAGAGTTTTGAATATTTAGAATTTTTTGTTAAATAATTAAATATTTTAAAAATAATCACTTATGCTCAAAAATGCAATAAAACAGTCATGTTGTGAAATATGGATGTTTGTGTGATTAAAAATAAATACATTTGAAAACAAAAAAAATATTACATATATAATTTCTTACATTTAAAAAAAATATATTACAAAAACTAGATTACAAAAAATTAAAGTCTGTTAAAAATGAAATATTTGAAAATAATTCAGTTTACGCTACATAAATATATTTTCTTTCAACCTCATGATGACAAACATTTGATTTTGCTTCTTTACATTTGATCATGATTTTACAAAAGTAAAACATTCAGCTTTATTACAGTAATGTATTAAGGTAAAGTAAAAAACAATTGTGGGACAACGTGCTTGAATGTCATGAAAATAATGGCTTCACTGTATGCTAAATAAATAAAAAAATTAATTCATACATTTTTGGTGAAACATGTGATATTCACCTGATAATGCTTACAGAAAACAGAAAACCCCTGGTGTATTTGTGATTGATGTTTGGTTTTCTGATGGACGGCGGTGATTGACTTCCAGTATTCATTTCAAAGAATGTGTGACAGAGGCTTTGACAGGTTTCTTTCCAATGATTTTTATGGGAAATTAGATAAATGAAGACCACAGTTGTTGCCATGGAGACTAGATACCAAAAACTGTAGACTAGATCACTCACAACAGCCAGGTTGTGTTCAGATCCGCATGCAATCTGCCAAATAAAAAGAGAAATTTGTGAGAACACACCTATTCACAGTCCAAACACAATAATCCCTGACAGACCTCAGTTTGATCACACACAGAAACACACTCTCTCCACGCCTGTAACAGGATCCGGGATGCCTGTAATCGAGCATTCCCTGCTGGGAAGCGGGTACGAGGACTGAGGCGTACAGTGGTTTGAGGGTGGGGAGGGGTGATTTACACATCCAGCCGTGCAGAGATGCTTCCTGCACTCAAAAATAGTACAAACACACAAGCGCCTGATGCTGGAGTCATATGTCCGTTACCATGACGACCCGTGAGGATGTGAGTAGGTGACCGGGTGTCTCTGGTTGGTTTATTAATGTTTGGTGATCAGAGCTTGTTATGCGGAGGTAATGGGCTGCTAGTGGACAAAAACACATCGCTAATGCTCTCTGCCAGAGCTGGGAGGAAGCCGTCCACACAGACACGCTCATATGTGTGGAAATTATACCAATGCATCATGGGAAATGGCAGCCTGAAACTTCTCTTGTTTCATGACCAAATATCTATAAACCTAAAACTAAGAGTTTACTCTGGAAGTGACTACAGTCACGTAACACAGTGGTTTAAGTTCAAAGCTGGATGCCATCTCACAATGTTTATATAGTATGGACCAATCAGCTGCCAGCATGAGTTATCAGTAAAACTGGTGAATTTTTTTTTAATGATTACGTAAATACGTAAAATTATTTATTAATTTGTAATTATGATTTTTTTTTACAATTTACGGAATATTTTAATCGATGAAGATTTAATATTTTAATATTTATTATTAATTTTACAGAGCATTTCTCAAATTGAGAATTATAATTTCATTATTACTTTATATAAACATACAGTTAGAAACAAAAGATAATTATATATTTTTTATTTAGAATAAATGAAACAATATTACTTATTTAGAATATTTTATATCATACACTACATTGTTAGAATATTTCCGTTTATTTAGAAATATTTATTTATTTATATAATTTACAAAAGTCATAAATTGAGCATTATAATTTCAATATGGTTTTAAATGGACATACAGTTAGAAACAAAAAAAAATATTTAGAATAAAGTAAGAAATACTTGTATTTATTTATTAATTTATAGAATACTTCTGTTTATTTAGAATGATTCATTAAATATTTTTATGCATGTATTTAATGTATTCATTTTTAATGTAAAATAATTGACAAGATCTATCATTATCTATTACTATTACTATTATACTACTGTTTCATAATTTGAACTTTTTATCTCATAATTACTATGTCACAATTTTGTCTTTTAATCTTACAATTTTGATTTTTTTAACAGCATAATTTTGATTTTGTATCTTGTTATTTTTATCAGAATTTTTACTTTTTATTTCATAATTTCAACTTTTTATGTCATAATTACGTCAACAATTTATGTCACAATTTATGTCAAATTCATTTGGAATATTCTGAATAATTTTTTCCCATTTATTTATATATTTCTTAAATTTCTTAAATGAAGACTATTAATTTTAATATAGCTTTAAAAAGATATACAAGTACATACAGTTAAGCCCCGTTCACACCAAAAACGATAACTATAAAGATAATGAT